ATCACATGTGCTGGTCGATTATATTATATTACGTTATACGATATTCTGCTATGCAAGCATATCCTTGATTGTTTTTAGCACATCATAATACATCGCATTGAACTTGATGGTATAGATGAATATGTTTACATATATATATATATAGAGAGAGAGAGAGAGGGAGCTTACACATGTACACGCACACGCACATATATACACACATAGATATCAAACAAAAGTTCATTGGCGCTTCGCGCCATGCACTTTTGTTTTCGTCATCCTTCCCTCCTGTTTCCTCTTCCTCTTCCTCATTCTCGCCCTACCCTGCGAATTCGCCAGCATTATCAGCTCTTGTTGTGGAGTCTCATCCGAGGAGAGCCTCTTGTCTCACGAAGGTTTTTAAGGGTTTATTGGGGCCCTTTGGGAGCCTCCTGGTTTCCTGCTGGGGGGCCACGGGGGGGTTCCCAGGACCACCCTGCTTCCAACCGCGGTCTCCCTGAACGGCCAGGTGGCGATCCGGGGTGATTCGGGAGGCGTCTTGGGGCCATATTGGGCCGTGGCCGTCATGGGGCTCTCTTCGGGCCCTCTGGGGGGCCCTGCTGGGCCGTCTTGGGGCTCCTCGTGGACTGCCTGGAGGCCCTCTTGGTTAAACTCGGGGCGATGCTCCGGCGTCCTGTGCAGCCTTGGGCGCCCCGAAGACAAAAGAACTGAGCATTCGCCAAACCACGCGAAAAAGCCTCGAGGAATCCGTTTTTTTGCGCTTCGCATGTCTCTTAGGGGTTTTCCTTAGGTTGTCATCGGGCGTCTGGTAGGTGTCTGGGGCCTCAGATGGCTTTCGCGGGGGCACCCCGCCGCCCTCCTGACCGATTTGGGCCCGCTGCCTAGGCCCAGCAAGGGCTTCAGGACCCCCCGAAAGCACAGGGTTTCGTGTGCAAGGGCGTCCAAGATGCCCCTGGGGCCAAGGATCCGGAGGGCCCCCCTTTAGGGAGGGGTTGCAGGGTCCCAGAATATAGTAATATAATTACCCTGCGACGTACCCAACCCATGTGCATCAAGTGGCAAGAGGAGTAGGCCAACATTGGCAGGAACAACGACAATGTAGACACGGTGATTTGTTGCGCAATCTACATGGGACGCGCATGCGTTGCACGACTCACAGGACGACGATCGAAAGAACGAGGATCCAGGCCCCAGGCTCGAAGAAGAACGGGGACGGGAACGAGGGGCAGGAGGAGGATGGAATGGGAGGGCGAAAGGCCATCGCGGCAGCAGCAGCATGCATGGAGCAGGTGAAGCGGGGAATAGGACGACAATGAAGGTGGCGGGAGGAGACAGAAAAGCGCCGCGTTTTCAGGTACACGCTAAACACTGAGCGCTGCCTGCGCCATGTCGTCGCAGCGTTCCACAGGCTCAAACCTGCTTATAGTAAGTGCAAGAAGCGAGCGAGACTTAGCTCGCCCGCTAGCTTCTCCGCCTCATCCCTGCACATTTAGTGCGGGAGCTGAACGTTCGCAGGCGCGCCGCCAGGTCTGCGGGCGGCCCGCGGGAAATGACACATTTTCACAGATCGCAGCCCTCCAGGGATGGCGAAGTCGAATCTGAATCCCCGTATGACGTCACTCCGCTGGCCACCCCAGCGCCCCTCGAAAGTGGCGACAGGTTCGCAGATCGCAGCCCCCCAGAGATGGCGAGGTCTAATATGAGTCCCCGTGGGGCGTCACTCCGCTGGCCACCCCAGCAGCCCTCGAAAGTGGCGACAGTTTCACAGATCGCAGCCCCCCAGGGATGGCGAGGTCTAATCTGAGTCCCCGTAGGGCGTCACTCCGCTGGCCACCCCAGCAGCCCTCGAAAGTGGCGACAGTTTCACAGATCGCAGCCCCCCAGAGATGGCGAGGTCTAATCTGAGTCCCCGTGGTGCCTCACTCCGCTGGACCCACCAGCAGCCCTCGAAAGTGGCGACAGTTTCACAGATCGCAGCCCCCCATGGCGAGGTCTAATCTGAGTCCCCGTGGTGCCTCACTCCGCTGGACCCACCAGCAACCCTCGAAAGTGGCGACAGTTTCACAGATCGCAGCCCCCCAGGGATGGCGAGGTCTAATCTGAGTCCCCGTGGCCTCACTCCGCTGGACCCACCAGCAGCCCTCGAAAGTGGCGACAGTTTCACAGATCGCAGCCCCCCAGAGATGGCGAGGTCTAATCTGAGTCCCCGTGGTGCCTCACTCCGCTGGACCCACCAGCAGCCCTCGAAAGTGGTGACAGTTTCACAGATCGCAGCCCCCCCCCCCAGGGATGGCGAGGTCTAATCTGAGTCCCCGTGGTGCCTCACTCCGCTGGACCCACCAGCAGCCCTCGAAAGTGGCGACAGTTTCACAGATCGCAGCCCCCCCCCCAGGGATGGCGAGGTCTAATCTGAATCCCCGTGGTGCCTCACTCCGCTGGACCCACCAGCAGCCCTCGAAAGTGGTGACAGTTCCGCAGATCGCAGCCCCCCAGAGATGACGTAAAAGGCAAGAGAAGAGAAGAGAGGAGGAGAAGGCAAGCAAGAGAGGAGAGGAGGAGGGAAGAGAGGGGGGGGCGGGAAGGAAGGAAGGTGGAGACCGCAGTGCTCTATTCAAAACGAGTACCCAACGCAGGAGGGTTGGGGAAAAAATGTGTATATATGTACATACAGATGTATATACGTATGTATATAATGTACATGTTTACACATTTACATACATGTTTACACATAGGTACATGCATGCATACATACGTACATATACACATACATAGGTTTGTACATACACACGTACATATTCATACAAGACTGCATTAACGCTTCGCGCCACGCACCTCGGCCCTTCAGGATGTATATGTATATGTCTATATATATACAGAGAGAGGGAGAGGAAGAAAAAGAGAGAAACAACGAAACAGACAAGCAAAACAAACGATAACGAGAAAGAGAGGGAGAGAGAAAGAGAGAAAGAGAGAGAGAGAGAATACCTAAAAGGACGAGGGGGGCTTTCTGGGAATCTCGCGAGAGCTTTAGGCTTCTGGTCGTCTTCGAGTGCCTGTTGGGTAATAGTGGGAGCTGTCTGGGACCACCGTGGTAACTCGCTACCGCGAATGGCGTCGGTTACGAAGAAATGCCCAATCGTGATTGCGCGGGCCTACGTAAGTTTTTGGTCAGAGATGGCGATGAGTCATATGTGCAAGAAAGATGGCTCTAAGATAATCGAAGATGGCCCCATGCAGACCTGGGGCATCAACCCAAAGGGGCGTCGAAAGAATCCGAAAGCATCCGATGTGGCCCCAAGAGCGCCCTCGAGGATACCGCGAGGGTCCCAAGAAAGATGGACGAGGGCCCCCAAGGCTCTCAGAGTGGGCGCCGAGAGAAACCGAGGAGGGCGAGAGCGCGAGTCTTGATGCTTCAACGCTTCCCAGGGCGCAGTCCTGAGCGCCGCCTTCAATGTATGCTATGCCATGCAAGGTGCGAACATTTTAATTGTCCGGAGGCGATCACGTAGGCATGACAAGTTGCAAGTGAAGGGCGAAAAATCATCTTTGACAAGTTGCAAGTGGAGGGCGGAACATCATCTTCCGATTGAAGTTTCAGGCGGCACCACTTGTGGGATAACCAAATCAAATATCATGCATGCGTGAGTCCGTGCATGATAAGGATGCAAAGCCATCCGTGTGATAGGAAAACCAGACGCAGCCCCATGTGAAGAATTGAACACATCGCATGTGTAGGGTCGACCTAATGTGTCCGAGTCCGCCGACCACTTGTGGTCCCAGCTTCTGGAGCAGTCGTGAGCACGGAAGGGTAAACACAAACGGAGTGGGAAACGAGTCCCTGTTATCGGGCGCTTCCGGGATTTCAGAGAGGCCTTTCTGGACAATCTTGGGGCCCTTGTAGGCTGTCTCGGGGGGCTCTGTCGTCGTGGGTCTCTGCTGGGAGCTTTTTGGGGCTGCCTTGGGGCTTTCTTCGGAGCCTCTTGGGGCCATTTTGGGCCGTCTCGGAGCTCTCTTGGGCCGGTTTGGGGCTGGGGCTGTCTTGGGATCCTCTTGGGGCTGTGTGAGGGCCTCTGGGTCCGTTTTGGGCCGATTTGGGGGGCCTCCTGAACCGCTCTGGAGCCTCGGATAGCAGAAAACGAGTATGGCTAAAAATGCACGTTTTCACTGAGGAGTGGAACGATCTTTGGTTTGTTCGACATTCTCTTGGGGCTTTTAGGGGCGTCTTGGGGAGGCTTCGTGGACCGTCTTGGAGAAACTTGGGGGCCTCTCTGGGCGTTTGGGGAGTCCCTGGGACTGTCGTGCAGCCATCGGAGGCCGTCTTGGAGCGCTGCGCTCTTGGGCCGTCTTGGAACCGTGTTGGACCTCTTTGGGGCCGCCTTGGGGGCCTCTTGGGCGCCAGGAGTGGTCGAAATTCGTTCGTTGGGGGTGGGGGTCCTCCTCCTGGTCCTCCTCCTCCTCCTCCTCCTCCTCCTCCTCCTCCTCCACCTCTTCGCAAGAAAAAATATAAATAGAAAACAGGCACCGTCGCCAGGCCAGAAGACCCCTCGGCAGAGGCACCACGCTCACTCTTCATGGACATCACTTCCTCATCCTCCTCCGACTCCTCCCCACTGCTCATCCTGCCTCCTTTCGCCGCCCCAGCTCCTCCTCCTGCTTCCCTCCCTCGCCTGGTGCCTAGTCCTCGGAGCTCCTCGTCGTCTTCCTGGCTGACCACAGGCGAATCATCTAAGCCACTTTACGCCACACGCGAGGGAACTGCCCCTGCTCGAACTGAAGGTCACCAGCCGAGCTCACCAACAAGTCGTGCACACCCATGCCCCGCATCATGACACTGACATGCACCAAACGACATGCCCCTGACTCCCTTCGGTGGCCCCCTCCAGCTCCTCAGCCCCTCCCTGATCTTGAGATTCCCACTCGCGGGCTGCTGGTGCTTTCGAACCCTGAGGAGCCCCTCTTCTTGCTTGTGTTCCAGGGTCTGACTGTGTTGCAAGCCTGATCTCGCTCCATGCCCCCCGCGCCGCTCGAGGTCAGTACTGGCCAGTATGCTGGAACTCCGCACTATACCTGCCCAGCGCAGCAGCTACCAACTAACAGACAATAAGGGCACCCAAACGAATCGCTGTAGCTAAACGCCAGACCGATTGATTACAATCCTCGCAATCTTGCATGTGCCGCGCTGCAGACCACGATTGATGGTCGTTGGCTGAGTCGCCTGCTTGTGCTCGCAGAAAGCGTTGCACGCATAATCCCATTAACCATTAATCAATTCCAGGCGGTTCCGCTCCCAACCCCCTTCCTACCCCACGTCGCAAGATCCCCCCCCCCCGCCTAAGCAAGGATAACCGAAAAGGAGAGACACGAGGTTCAACAAATGTGGCTGCCGTGCTCCTTTTATTATTGGCTGGTCTGCCGTGCTCCTTTTTTCGTGGCTGGACTGTTGTGTATCGTTTGGCGCCTATTGAGGGCCTCTTGGAGGCCTCCGCGTGGAACCCTTGGAAGTCTCTTGGGGCCTCCTGTGTGCCCTTTGGGGACCTCTTGCGAACCTGTTAGGAGCCTCTTGGAGGCTTATTGGTGGCCTCTTGAGCGCCTTTGAGCGAGAACCCTTGGAAGCCTTTTCGGGCCTCCTGTGTGCCTCTTGGGGGCCTCTGGCGGGCCTCTTGGGTGCCCTCTTGGAAGCTTCCTTGTGTTCTCTTGGGGGCTTCTTTGGGGTCTAGTCGGAGCCTCTTCGCGCCTGTCAAACATGCACCAAACAAAAACTTAATGAAGAACCATCAGAACCCCCAGGAGCATTCGCAATGCTTGCCTTCTGAGGCTCTCGTGCTGGTCCTCTTCGGGGCCTCGTCGGCCGTGTTGGGGGCCTCTTGGCCCGTCTTGAGGCCCAGCGTGGCCAACCTTCGAGCGACCTTGGACCGTCTCGTAGATCCTCGTGCTGGCCGTGCCGCCCTGCCTGGCCAGGGCCGTCTTGGATGCGTGACACACCGGTCCCGAGCCCTGGGCGCGACTGGAGAGGTGCACCCGATCTGTCAGGGGAGGTCCCTCTTCCCCTGGGCCTGGACAGGGCGCCCTGCGGGCCGTTGCCGCGCCCAGGATGGCCCACGATGGCCCCCAGCGGGCCCCGGGTGGCCCAAGACGGCCCCCAAGAGGCCACGAGACCGCTCCCAGATGGGTCCTCCTCCTCCTCCTCCTCCTTCTCCTCCTCATTCTCCTCCTCCTCCTCCTCCTCCTCCTCCTCCTCCTCCTCCTCCTCCTCCTCTCCTCCTCCTCCTCACTCTCCGCTGCTACAAACAAGAATCCCTTCCTCCGCTGCCGCTCCCTCCTCGGCCGAGGGTCGAAGGCTGGAGGCACTTCGGGCTTCGTGGGGGGGCTTCCCGGGGGTGGGGGGTCGCCCCTCGTAGCCACGGCGGGAGCCTCCCCCCCCCGACAGCCCCTGCAGGGGTGCCACGGAGCCTCCCAAGGAGGCCCCCAAGAGGCCAAGCTGCTTCCAGAACTTGAGAAACTCAGTGGTGTTCGCCGTTTTGCTTGCTCGCTTTCCATGGGCTCTTGGCGCCTCAACATAGTCCCAAGAGGGCCCAGAAGAGCCCCAACAGGGGCACAAGATCTCCCTAATACGACCTCAAGGGCGCCCAAAAGATTTCAAAGAGCGCCCCCAACCGCTGACTTTTGGGACTCAACGAGCAAGCGTAATCAAGGACCCCCCCTCCGCTCAAAGCTAAAGCCACTGAACAACCATCTGTGCTTCACCCATTTGGGCCTCTCGGGGGCATCCTTGAGGAGCCTTTGAGCCAACATGGTTCCAAGATGGCCTCAGAGAGCCCAATCTGGCATCCAAGACGGCTCATTGTAACCAACGATGGCTCAGTATGGCCACACCTATACCTCCAAGAACCCCCACATACACACCAGCATATGCCCCAAAACGGTGTCTGATATCAATAAAGGGGGCCCAAGAGGACAAAATCTTTCCACCACAAAAATAGATGCGATGTTGTTTGCCTTCTCGCTTGTTCGCAGCTCCGAGATAGCCCCAAGGAGGGCCGCATGAGCGGGCTTCAAAAGGGAACCGCTAATTCAGGGCCCCCCTTCTATGATCAGGACCCTTATGAGAGCCCGGAGAGGTCCCAAGCAGGCCTACACAAGCCCCCCCAAATGGCCTCAACCAAGTTCCGAGACGGCCCAAATAAACTGCCAAGAAACTCCCATACTGAAAGATCCGTGAATGCATGCATGGTCAACTCCCAGGCCTGATCAAGCAGATCCCGATGTTCGATCTACGCCACTCCAACTTGTTCAACGAATCAACCACGGTGCATGACGATACTCGTCAACTCGCTGCTAGACATCGGGGGACGCTTACCAACCATGAGACAAGATAACGCGTCGCAAAACAACACCTGCTGCCACCACGCTGTGTCGCACTTCACTGCGCCACAACATGCGGTGATGATTATCTGATCGGTCCGCACATGTGAGCCAGACCCGTGCACAGACCCTAGCTGCAATGATGTGAACTCGTCCCGAACACAATTCTTCCAAAAAGTACGCACCATACGCAATCACGGTATACTGCGCCCCATCGTAATACGTTTAACGCTGGTACATTTTGCCGTTGCGGTGCACTTCCGGACATCATGTCGCATTCAAACGCTTAGTGCTGGAACACTCCCACGTCGCGCTCCATGAGAGTCGTTGCACTAGATGACCCGTGTTGTGCTACATCAAATCGAAGACTGATGCGGCTCTGCAAACCGCTTCTGCGATAGACCACATTTAGCGGCGCCCCACGGCATTCCACAAACGGACCCTAAAACACGTCATAACACACCGCACCACACCGCAACGCATTATACCAATAAGGCAAAAACCTGTCAGTTACTGCTCTGAACTGGACCAGGCCGCTGAACATGTCACCAAGGCGTCGTTTAATACATGTCCGAGCCTCATGTGATAATACAAGGAACACGTTGTTCTGCCGAGCCACATCCTACCGCCGAGCTGCGAGTCACGATACTATTCTGATTTGCGTACGCACTCCCGGCGCATGACCCGCGAAACCATAACATTGCAATACTTCGCGTTACCGGGCTTAAGCACATCCGCGCCACCCTACATAAATCGGTTGGCCATATCACAGCACTCAGCAACACCGCACGCCGCAGTATATCAATGTGCTTTGCGAGTGCCATTCAGCTACGCAAAACGGTGTACTACTGCACCGTACTTCACGACGCGGCGCTGCACTACGAGACGCAAGCAATGCAAAACCAACACAGCTGTCCACAAGACAGAACAGCCATCATCCAAGATATAATAGCATCTGCTGCCGCTCGCCTATTTCTTTCTCCTCCAAAACGGCTTCCCTCTTCCTCTCTTCCTTCTCCTCCACTTCACCATTCCTCGTCCTTGTTGCCCTCCTCCTGCTCCGAGCTATGCACCCCCTCCCTCCCCCGTCCCCACACCTCCATGTCATTCCCCTTACACAGCAATCTCGTCTCCACCTCACACGCTGCCACTTTCCCGTCGTCTCACCAGCCAGACGCGACCCGCCCCCAGACCCCCGACCTCGTGTTTTTTTCACGACGTCGAACCCCAGCGGTCTGGACCCCTTCCCGGGAACCGTTTTTTTTTCATCCCGAGTCGTCTTTTGACGGTCCCGAGGCCAGGAAGGGCCCCAGGAGGCCGCAAATTGCGAAAAACCTTCCCGTCGCAATTTGTTCACAACGCGAGCAGAGGAGGAGGAGGAGGAGGAGGAGGAGGAGAAGGAGGAGGAGGAGGAAGAGGAGGAGGAGGAGAAGGAGGAGGAGGAGGAGCAGGTCTTGGAGGGCAGGACACGAGCACGCGGTGCGCGAATCATCGCCGAGCGGGAGACGTCGTGTCCGTGCGCACGGTCCCGCGCGCCCGCCTCCTCCGCCGCGGCCACACTGGGCACCGAGCGGCCCCGCGCGGCTCCCGCGCGTCGAACACATCCACAGGATCGCGTATCCACAGGATCGACGGCGCGGGTGTCTCCTGGCTGAGGGAGAGGGCAGGTGGGCGCTCGCGAATTCCCTCCGCCCTCGGTCGGGGCCGAGAGGAATTGGATCAGGTGGAGAAGGAGTGGGGCAGGTGGGCAGACTGCGTCCAAACTCGGGCGCGCGTGCGGACTTGGCTCGGAAGGCGCGCCTCGGTGGGGTTCCCCCCTCTCCCCTCCCCTCGCGGTCGTGCTCTGTCGGGATCGGGCCTGGGAATCTGGGCCGCCTGCAGGGCATGGATGATGGGCCGATTTTCCACCACCACTGCCAATAGGTAGGATCGGGGATGGGCAGAACCCCCTTTGGTATTAATAAAACGTGGTTCGGTGAAAACGACCTCGGGCCAAAACCTGCCGGTCGCAAGCCTGGAAAATGACGGCTGCGGCGCCCTCCCGAGATCGGAGCACGGACAATGCACTATGATCGACGCGTCAGGGTGGGGGCCCTGTCCACCCCCAGCAGGAGGAGGAGAAGGAGGAGGAGGAAGAGGAGCAGGAGGACCTCCCCATCCTCTCCTCCTCCGCCCTAGCTCTGGCAGTGGAGGAGGAAAATGCGCCCGTCGGTGGATGTGAACATGCGCACCGACCGCTCCGGGAGCGCCCACGGATGCACCGGAGAGCGGGGCGCGGCGCCCTGGTGGCTCTCGCGCCCGTCCTTTTTGTTGCGCGAGGCGGCGGCCACAGCGGGGAGGCACAGCGACCCCGACATCCTCCCGGACTTCTTAGGGGGGGCTCTGGCCAAGGAATTCGGGGCCCGGCTTGGGCATCTACGACAGGACTCGGAAAGAAATAGCGAACACTCATGCCGCATCCATCTGTGAACGCCTCCCCCTCCCCCCGATGTTCAAAGCTGGCGGTGGGTCTGATGAGTTGCACCTCGACCGCAGTCTCCCCAGCGCATGCCAACTTCGAGTTTGAGGGGCATGTGTGTGTGTTCACTAATTGTTTCCCTCTACCGGGTGGAGGCCAGTCCACAGGGAACCTTTTCCACAAGAAGCCCAACCCTGAAACCCCAGGGCCTCCATCGATTTCTGGACTGGGAGCGTCGCGCTCTTCATGGCAGAAGCATCGAAACCCAAGGCACCCAGGGCACCCTGGAGGCAAGCAGGATGTTTCTTGGCATGGGTCTCCACTGTACGATGTGGGGGCGGCCGGATAGCCCCACGGGGGGCGTATCCCTGAGTTCTCCCTCTTCTTCTCAAAACGGGAAGTGCCCCTTTTTTGGGGGGACTCGGGGAGTGGGGACGAAAAACCGCCTGAGAGATTCCAATATTCCTTATGTCGGAAGCGTTGGGAAATTCTCTGTCTCTCTAGTATGGCCACGACGCCCAAATCCGACGACGTCGCAAACTGAAACAATCCACGGCTATCCAAATCTGTGTGAAACCCGGGTGTCCCTCGCTATCGAAATTTGTATGGGCTCCGGGTAATGCATCAATCGTCGGGTCGAAGTTGGCCCCACAAAGGATCAACATACGTGCCAGAACGCTGGAACACACACACACACACATGGCTGAATTCATATGTAGGACATTGAGCATGCTCACGCTGGATACTATGTGGAGGCCTAGCGATCTTTGCCATAGAAGCGCCGACCGCTGGGAAGACATCTGAGCACGCGTATATCCAGCCCCCGACCAGGCCGTCCGCGTTGTGTACCTGTCCAGCTTCCTGGCACTGGATCTTCCAAAATCCATGGGCCCCCCAGAGCTCTCGACACCATCTCACGAATCAACTCTACCCCGCACGTCGTTGTTTGAGGGCCTCCGAACACAGCAGAAGAACCGCTCGATCGTGCAACATCGGCACTGGAGTTGCAAAGGGGCCAGAGGATTCGAAACATCACGACGTCGGAAGTCTAGTTGATGGAAACTTCCCGTTTTGGGTAACAAGTGACCGTGTGTCTGAAGTGGACAACGTCCGCGGCGACACCGACCGCGAGCCCTGTTCAAGAAACTAGAGCTAATGTCGGTCTTCGTCCCCAAGCTTTCCGTGTCCACTTTGGCGGTACCGGCCGCTGCAGCTCCTGAGGGGGAAGTATGAAGGAGGACTGGCTCAGGGGGGGGGGCGCTCAGGGGGGTGGGTGGGGGAAACATTGACCTGGAATCGGCCATACGTCGCCAATAGACCAGCGATAGGCCCCCGATGGCGAATGCGCACACTCCTGGACGGAGTGGGCTGTCGGGCCCCTACAAGGGATGAGTGGGCGAGAGGGGGGTCGATGCCATCCCCCCTGACGTTGCCCGCCGTGGGAATCTACACTAAGGTCTATGGGCCCTGACCCATAAGGCTTCGCAGAAGCGCGACCTGACAACGCATCGGGTATAACCTTCTGGCCGGTTCTCCAGGCGACAAACAGGTGAGCGACTAAAATAAACGGGTCTTACGTGAGATGACGCAGCGACCCTACGCGGCGGCTTACGCGGGCCGCCAGCGCGTCATGATACATGGGAAACGAGGGCGCCTACGCGCGACCTTACGCGGGCAGCTAACGCGCCAATGTCAGTACAGACGACCCCGTTTTTTTTGCGTCGCTCAGGTGTTGAACCAAGTATTTACACTGTGCTGGGGCCGCTGCTTGACACTGCGTGGTGGAACAACCCAATACCGTATAGTGGACATGTTCGTGGCCCGTCTCTCCGGCTTTCGGGTCATACATAGAACTCGGCTCTCCGGCGGCCGCTCGGGACGATATCCAAGCGACCCCAGAGCGCTCTTGGCGAGGCGCAGGTGCTGGAACGCACCCCGAGGCTTGGGAAACCACCGAGACTCAATGAAAAAAACAAGCCAGACACACCTCAGACCTCGAACCTCGAAGCCCTCGGAGGCAGCCTTGGTCCTGAGGAGCCCATCCCCTATGGGGAAACCAGCAGGTACCGATACCGCCACCTCCCGGACCCCTCCCGGGGTGCGTCGTGACCAAGACTTCGAGGCGAATCCAGCGGTGGCGACGAGGACCTCCCAGGAGGCCCACGAGGGGCAGAACGAGGCACGGGGAGCGGCATGGGTATACCTCCTCTTCCTCTGGACCCGATCCCCACCTCGAGCCTCGCCCCTGACCTCCGACGCCCTCCCCCCGAGGCGCACCCGGCGTGCTACAGGCCGTCCCTGCCGGGCCGGCCTATCAGCAGCATGCCGTGCGGCCCGCGGGTGCCTCGCCTGGGGCCCGATCGGATCGGGGAGGGGGGGCCGGGTTGCCCCGCGCGGGGTGGCGGCTGCTGGCGGGCGTGCCCGGGCGGGCACTCTGCGGGGCACGGGCCCACAGCCAGTACAGCCATCGGCCTGACCTAAGGAACGATAAATAAGGAACGAAGCCCCTGTTTTCCAAGGAAAGAAGCATCAGGAACGATAAATAATAATAATAATAATAATAATAATAATAATAATAATAATAATACTAATACTAATACTAATACTACTACTAATAATAATGATAATAATAACAATAATAATACTAATAATAATAATAATAATAAAAAAAAACGCATAAGGAGCGATACATAATGCATGCAAGCCTTAAGGGACGACCGAGCCCCTTTTGAAAAGTAAATGTTTCTTACTCAAGCCGCTCACTGTACCCCTCGGTCGGAAGAAGGAGGCAGAAACATGAAGTAGGAAGGCGTTGAAAAAATGGAATGGGCTCCGCCCACCCCCTGAGGAGGACGGAAAAGGTGAAGCCACTCGATCACGGAAGGAGGAAGGCGCTCAAAAAAGGACTGGAACCCGGAAGTCCAGAAACACCCGCTTTCCACGGCCGCTGGGCAGTTGGGCCCGTGAGCTTCCTCCCCGAGAGCGCGCGCAGGGCGCCACGCGGGGGGACAGCGCGCCAGAGGCGCCGCCGGGCAGGCGCGCCGCCGGGCCCAGGACAGCCTCCGGGCAGGAGGGTCCCCGGAGGCCGCGCGGGCCCCGAGGGAGGGCCCGACCCCTTCCCGGAGGCGTGGGCTCCCCGTCGCTCGGACGTCCATCTCCCTGTGCTTTTTTCGGTTTCGTGCAGGGCTTTCTTCCGCAGGATGATCCAGGATGCTTCTTAATATAATCCCGCCGAGAGAAAGAGCATACGTCCGAGCGATACCGAGTGGAAGGGGACAACGGCACCAAGACAGGGGGCTGCGTTCACCCGGGAGGAGGATGATCCGAGGTTTTGGTGCTGGTGGTAATGTTTCGGCCACCGACCCAGATCCCCGACGTCATGATTTTTGCTCATGACGTCGACCCCCAGAGGTTTCGACCTATTTCCCGGGTCCAGTTTTTCCTCCTGAGCCGTTTATTTGAAGGTCCCGGGGCCCGGTAAGGGCCCCCAAAGGCCATGGCGAAAAACCTCCCGTCATGATTTGTTCCTTACTCGAGGGGGTCTGGGTAGGCAGACCACATGTTACCACCATCGCCGAGATCGGGAGCGGCTTCCCTCGGTGGAGGCACGCTGCCGACCTTGGTGCTGGTGCCAACCTCCAGGCCTCCGACCTTCCCCTGGTCCTGGGAGGCACTGCTTTTGTTGCCGTTCTCGGGGCACTGGGGCCCTCAAAAAAAAACTGGCCCCGCAGACAGTCTGGCACCCATGTCGTGCGCCCTGGAAGCCCCTCGAACGCACACCCCTCCCGACATGACTTATACAGAAGCACGCTGAGTTCGAACCTGCTGGATAAGAACCTGTTGGTCAGACTCCCCCGGCACAGCCCCCCTGGAAATTCATGGAAATCGACCATGAGGCGCTCACACAATACTCGAATAAAATAACGTGTTGTTGTTGGTTATGATTGTTCTCCTTATCATATTAATATTATTCTTCTTATTTTCATTCTTATCATTCTCTCGCACTGTCTCTCGCACACTCTGTCAGTCGATTTCTCCTCTCTCTCTCAATATCTCTCTCTCTCTCTCTTCTTCTCTCTCTCTCTGTTTAGTTGTTTGCTCTCTCTCTCTCTCTCTCCCCCTCAATCATCAGAATGTAGGATGACGACTACGAGATTGAAGCAATAAATTTCTGCCGCTGATTATACACCATGGGGGAGGACGATCACATCATCTCAATGACGACGACACCCACGAGCAACCCTGGACCCCGATGTATTACATCATCGCCAGCAGAGCCGCTGCGTGCCGCCCCCCCACCCAGGAGTACTTCCGAATCGTCATCCAACGTTACGCTACGCCCTCAATTGCCCGCGACCCCTTGCCATCGCTCGGACGTCGTGCTTATTCGATTTCGAGTGAGTGTGTGTTTTTGTTGCCAGCGCCCATTCGCGATATGGATCCTTCAGACGCCTCAGCGCGCTTCTGGCCTGCTAGGGGGCCTGCTCGTCTTAAGCTCCGGCAGGCTGAACTCCCGCAGAAGACCGGGCAAGCCTGCAAAGGCCCAGGCGGGCCGGGCGGGCAGACCCTATACCGCAGGTTCATGTCGTGCCGACCCCGGCGTTGGTTCCCGACACCGCGGGGGTCGTTCCACCTCGAACGATCGGCCGTTTCCGAAGCGTCCGATCGTTCAACGTCGACCGCTTCTGGGTCGCCGGCGGGTGTTCGAAGTGGAACGCCGGCGGCGGGGTCGCCGCCAGTCGGCACGACCCGGCGGGCCTGGCGGGCGGACCCGAACGGGCGGGTCGGGCGGGAAGGGCGCTGCAGCGGCCGGGCGGGACGCCCAGCAAGCCGGGCGGGGGCAATGTGCAGCGGCCCCTGTGCCGGAGCGGCCGCCTGCCGGCACTGCCTTCTGACACAGCGCTCGTCTCGTGGAGCGGCCCTCTGCCAGAGAGGTCTGCTGACGGGTATTCTGGCGGAGAGGTGGGTTGCGAAAATGGTCTTGTGAATGAGCGGTCGTCAGCTTGTGTGGCTCTGCGGGAACGTTCTCTGCCAGAGCGGTTTTCTGCTGGAACGGTCTTCTGCTTGAGCGCTTTTCTGTCGTCGCACGAAAGGAAGTAGAGGAGGCGTTGGGAAAGGAAATGATCAGCAGGAGTGAGACGGAAAGGAATCGACCGAGGATGAGGAGGAGGATGACCAGGAGGATGAGAAGGAGGAGGAATGGGTGAAGGACGAGAGCACAGAGAGAGAGGATCGCACGCCAACGTCAGGGGAAGAGGCAGGAAAAGGACCGACGACAGGTCCAAGCACCCCCCGTGCAGGAGAGGGGGAGTGGGGGGGGGCGCCTGACGGACGGAGGAGAGCCCTACTGGTACCGTAGCAAACCCTCGAATCCTGCCCTGGGGTCGACGACACATCCCCCCCCCACCTAAAACCCTTCTTCGACGCTCTCGGGAAATAGCACATCCCCGCGTCGAGCGCCAGGAGGGAGAGGGAGGAGGGAGAGGGAGGAGGAGGAGGAGGAGGAGGAGGAGGAGGAGGAGGAGAAGGAGGAGAAGGAGGAGAAGGAGGAGGAGGTGGAGGAGGAGGAGAAGGAGGAGGAGGAGGAGGGAGGAGGCAGAGGAAGGGGAGGACGAGGAGGAGGAGGAGGGCAGGATGGAGGAGGACTCGAGGACTCGAGAGCAGAAGGCAACGCAGTCGGCTCGGCCGCCGCGCCCCCGCGCCCGCGCGCGCTGCGCGGGCTCGTGAATTCGCGAGCCCACCCCAGAGGCAGGGCGGTCCTCCCCCTCCCTGCCACTACCAGGACAGAACAAACGTGCGGGGCCGAAGCCCCTAGCCGCGAACTCAACCACGTCGTGGCCGTTCGGCTGCAGGGCGACGTCCAACAACATGTCGAAGTAGTTTGCCACCACTAGGTGGCACCATGCCGCTAGGCCACTCCAGCTTTCGGCGGCAATCGTTCTCGCAAGCGTCGTCGTACCGTATGGCCACTCACTGCGACTTTCTGTCGGCACTGCTTCGCCAATATATTCGTTTGTCTGTGTCCATATCATTGTGGGGTCCGACGAACGCACACTTCCAACACCAGAACTGAACATGGGCCGCTGATATGCTGTGGCTGGCGTAGACCACCTTGCTCTTCACCTCTATCATATCGGTGTCTGGTGCAGTTACGGCATGTCCATGGTCTGTTCGCTTGCTGTGTCTCGAAGCATTGCCGTCCAACGCGCACGTTGGCTTTCATCCAGTCTACCACGGTACACGTTCCTGGTGATATCAAACACTCATGTCAAACCTGAGGTCCACGCTTTCTCGTCGTGCAATATGCCCAGATACTGTTTCCAGTTGTTGTCGTCGTTCCTTGGCCACAGCCTTCGATTCAACCAGCTTCCTATCATGCTTTCTGAAGTCCACGTCCTTGCAAATCTCGCGTACGATGGCCGCCCCTCTCCGCTCCCGCAGCAGTATGGCATCCGTGTCCATCAGTTGTGTGGCCTCGTCGCGTACATCTGCCATGGCCTCAGCTGCGCCTCGTTGGGCACATGCGTCGGCCAACACATTTCCGAAACTGATATCATGGCTTTGGCCCGACTGCCTGATGGGTTCGCTGTCTAAGTTGGATATTTTTTTGGGGTGGAGCGGACCGCGATTATGTACACAACTCGCCTCGCCAAGCGTGCTGGCAATGTACTGAAAGTCCTTCGCATGCCTGTCCTGCGAATGTTGCCGAAACGCAAGTGAGGGAAGACGGGAACGGGCCATGCCACGATTACGTTGCTGCTAGCTGCAGGCGCCGGCCTCGAGCCAACAAATCCTGCCCCCCTGGACAGACAGACGCAAATAAAAACAGCTACCTGTGACAATTATTGCCCGGGCGAGCGGTCGAGGAGGAGGAGGAGGAGACAAGTGAAACCAGAAGGCGAAATATACGAATTAGCCCAACAACGTATCAGCCCCTGGCCTGCCAAGCTGTTGTTGGACAGACCCGCATTGAACGGCCTCGACGGACAAACAACACATTCACAACTCACGGTGCTATAAAAAACCGTATTGCCAGCGAGGAGCTACGCACCACATAACACCTGTGAGTGTCATCCACTGTCACAGACGGCGGCCAGGCACAGGTTGGAGAAACTTTGGTGACCTCGGTCCCCCTGCACTCCACCTGGGCGTTTGTGTAATACCTGAGCGATGGGTAGCTACCAACGTACCACCGTGCCCTGGGGCCTTTCATACCACTGCTGCGCCGATCCATCATCACCTTCTGGCAGTCGGTGTAGATGGTGATCGGTCCTGTGGTCGTCACAATCAGCACCCATAGAAGACCAGCGCGCCCCGCTGCTGGCACTGTTTGCTCTCCATCCACCGTG